ACAGATGGTACCCTGGAAAAAGAAGCACTTTGCATCTGTTTGCTATGCAAATTAATTCATTTAACATTTGTTGACAGCAGGTCAGTTTAGCACAGGAATCAGGCTAGAAAGTTGGCAATTTAGGAACTCAGTTCTACTCTGTCCTCTTAGAAGTGAAAAAATCCAAGGGAGAATTAAAAGTAATTAGGCAGAAAACAGCAGTTAAGCCCAGAACGAATTTCATTTTTAAACTATTAAAACCCCTGCTGCTTCCAGAGAACTAGGAATCATGGTGGATATCGACCCAGAAAACAAAAAAGACCATGTGACTGCAAGCGGCACTCTCTGACCCACAGATGCGGCACTTCCCCTCTAAAGCACAACAGCACCTTAGAGAAACCTGGAGACACAGCGAAGGTCTCTGACACTGCCTGGGTGCCTGTGAGCTAGCCGGGGCTCCATCAATCCTGCAATCAATTCAACTTGTACACTTTTCCTAAAGCGCCTTAACGTCTGGGTCAAAGCTGTAGGAAGGATCATGAAATAGCCTTGTTAAGGTGCACCAAATCCTTACATTATTTAAAGTGGAGGACAGTACAATTTAAAAATGAATGCTTCTGGACTGCAAATCCCAGTAGGGATTTAGGGTTTAAAAAAAAAAAAAAAAAGACAGTAACTACTAGAAGCAACATTCAGACATTCTCCACATATCTAAAAAAAAAATACAACACAAAGACATGAAACTTGTACTCCAAAGGAACATCTGTGCATATTTAATGATTCTCCTAGCAAATGTCTTCCTTACCTCTTCCTCAGTCCTACTCTTCCATAACCAAAAATCCACTTAATTTCAATATATCAATCTTTGCTTTGTTTTTTACTGTTCCTTTCCAGATTCCCACCACACCTATTTCTCTCAACAGGTTCAACAGCATATAAGAATACCTTTATTTTATAAAATTATACTGGATATAGCATCTATCACAAGGCTCATGACCACTTTAAGTAGTAAAACTATTACAGATATTGCAGATCCATTCATCATCTAGGGTCTGCCCCTAGAAACAACACACAGCAATGCAAGAAGAAACATCTTTTTCCTGATCTCAAGGCAAGAATGGAGACAAAATTATCATCACTTGCACTAGTTTCTGAAAACTTCAGTGTTTCTTGGTAAAGATAGCAGAAAAAGCATGCAATAAATTTTATTATGAGATCATAGTTTGCAGCTTGGCTGTGCTGCCAAGTCTTTATTTTGCAAAGGGGAATACAGAATTCCCAAAACATTTGTTTGAAGAGTTTTTGGCAAGTCAAGTATGGAGTGGGATGGCACACAGAGCCCACTCATGTTCCAGAAGATCAGCATTCAAAAGATCCCTACAACGGCCACAGTCATGGGAAAAGGCTTCACTTTAGAAGAAGTCCTTAAAATAAACACTGGTCTCCAAAGCCAATATAAACCTTAACCAGTTGCCTTTTCTTCCTTTGATTCTTAATGGCTAAGTATACATTGTCAGTTAGCTATGGTAGTTTGGTATGGACATCACAAAGTATCCCAGGTCATCTCAGAAATATTGAACTCTGCAGGAGAGAGTATCTGAATGGCTTTCTTGACGATAATAAACTTTGCAAAGTTTCTCTGATTTCCAGCTTGTAAATGACCAGGCCCAACGTCACTCAGTATCATGCGCAGGGCTTTCTCAAATAGCAGCTCAGATCTATTCCTGAGCACAAATCCTTCATCTATACAGACTAAAATCAACATCAAGCATCACAGATGGATTTTTTTTGTTACTTCAGAAAGTGGGTACAAAGCCAGTAAGCTACTTCAGCTTTGGATAAGGGGCAAAAGAATGCATGGATCATGCTTCTCATCTTGCAAAATTAATTCCCAAGTAAAGCAACTCTGGTGCGGCTACAGATGTCTGCTAAGATACTGGCCCAGTTACTGACCCTTCTGCTAAAGCATTCTCCCACCCCACACATACCTGCAGCACTATCTGTGCTGCTAATACCCGACGTGAATCCACCCACAGGCACATACAGGCCAAGTTAACTACACAGGATGCTGTTCACCCTGCCCTGCTCAGACCTGGACATAGACCAGCACCTGAACTCCAGCCTAAAGTGAGGAGGGAGAGACACTTACAAATTACACGGGGGGAAGGTATTGTTGACAGGATAGGACTGGAAAGGAAAATGGGATGGATCAGAATTTGAAGAAGAGGTAAAGGCAAATAAGTGTGGGGGTTTGTTTGTTTGTTTTAATTACTTGTTTTCAATTATTTTGAAATAAGTGTTTCCAAGGCTCCACATTATCAAAGGAGAGACCGAGATCAAGAACAAAGTAAAGACGAGAAAGCAGTGTAAAAAAAAAAAAAAAGGCAAATAATTAACTGGCAGTTCATGCTGCGAATCACGAGTTTGAAACAAACTTGCCTACATCTGTTGATAAACTTCATTAACTGAAAAAATGATACTGAAATGAATGCTGTCCTGCATGCATAATGCCCATCTTCCACTTAGGTATCTAAACCACAAGGACTTTTGAAACCTCAGTAGTTCAAAGATTCTCTCAGTTGTTTTGGAAGACAATGCTGCGCACACCTGAGGCTCACTTCCAAAGGGGCCAAAGGAGGCTGGCGCACCATCAAGAGGACTAACCTCCCAGTTAAGTATCAAACTGGTAAACAGTTTGTAGTCTGCAATAAGCTCCATTCATGCAAAAGTGAATGTCTAGGACTCACTACAGTGTCAACAAGAGAGGAGTAGCCAAAGGGGTTTTTAAACACTGACGTCTGTCAGACAGATGGCTGCAACAATTTATTCTTTGCTGGCCTTAACTATCTTATCTTGCTGGTGCTGTTAAGGATGAGCTGCAGAGGATTTCAACAAACAATGCAAAATTGTTTCCAACAGTAGTAACAATAATTACTTTTGATATGTCCATTTTTATCCCTAGATTTGGAAGTGCTCTATAAAAGGTATGTAATATCACCAACATCGTAACAAGAAGTACAATCAACTGAAAGACAGCTCATAGCTCGCTCACTCCTGCATCTTTGTTGTCCTGGACTCACTTTATCTCACTGCAAGAAGTAAGGAGACAGCAAGACACTTCTTCCCCTTTCCTATGCAAGAGGTTGCTCTTTCCACGGCACAACAGAGACATGGACAAACTACCTTTTTCAGATTACCCTTCCCTGCTAACCTGCCATCACATCTCCATTTACCTTCAGCAACTACTTTCAACCACAAAATCATCTGGCCCTGCATCTGACTGAAGCTTCAAATTTTCCACAAGGAAGCAGAGAGTGCCACATGACTATGCCAGCAGAGACTATAGATGAAAGGACTGAAATCCATTTCTCCCCTTCAACAACAGAGGCAGTCATCATTCACTGGCGGCTGTCCTGATGCATTTGAAGTGCATCAGGACCACTTTTAATTACCAAAAGTTCAAATACTCTAACGTACGTGTATCAGTACTACTATGCTCCACACCCCCCTTCATTAGCCTTAAAAATGCAATGTCCAAAGGGGCACAAGCTTTTGCATGTCCTGTAAAACCAGTACCTTACTTTAAGATTAAAAAGCCCCAAACAAACAAAACAAACCCAAAGTTACCCTGGAATGTAGAAGTTCAAGTGGATGCACATAATAACAAAAATTTATTATGTGGATTTAGGTTAGTCTACTAATGATCAATTTATTGTCTACACTTACTGGAGAACCTCATATTCATTCAGTTAATCCTTTTATCCCCCACTACGACTAATTTCCTCTTGCAGAACACCATTAGAAAAGGAGACACCAGTAAGTAAAAATCTGTGACGTCTGGAGCCTACTTAAAGGACCTTAGTTTCCAGTGGGACTGCAAATAATTTCAGTAATGGACCCTTTCAGAACACTTCTCATTACTTTCTTCATTTGTGAAGTTACTCAGGGGAATAGTTACTGCAATTTAGAGACCATAAGCCCAAGAAACAGAAATGAACCAACTTCTGAAGATGCATTAATAAGTACAGACCTGACAGAAGTACATTTCAGAGCAACAGAAGGTATGATGCCAAATCTTTATTAGTTTTGCTCAAACTAATTGACTTCATCCTACAGCTGAAGAATTTAACAGGGCATCTCCACTATTTTATCTCAAAGAACAGCAAAATGAAAGAGACTGTGTTCAGGAAACGTTGGTTCTTCAGTTTTTTTAGACTGCATTTGGACTCCTCCTGACCCCAGCTTCTAGCATGTACTGTCCTACTCTCAAGGTGCTCTCAGAACTGCAAAGACAGTTTCTAACCAGAAAAGGCTCCTTTGCAAGGAATAATAGGTTCAGTAGATCACGTTCTGAACTAATTTCCCATAGGTCCTTAGTCATTGTAGCTTAAAATAGGAGCATGTTCACAAAAGTGTTTGTGGCCAAAACTAGATCCATGTTTCAGACTCAGTGTAATTCCATGAAACCAGCTGCCCAGCATCTGCCAAAAAATGCCTTTTGATAGCAGAAGGCCTAAAACCAAGGGAGCTGTCTGAAAACACACTTTTCAAATAAATAAAAACATCACCATCAAGGGAAGCAGAGAAAGTACTCAAAATTTGTAGGAACAGCCCACTGATCACAGTAGACAAATAGAAGTGTGATTCTCAGTCCTCGTGGCACAGTTTGCCTTGCAAAATGCTTTTTTTGTACTTAGTTTGGCAATTGACCTCACCTGGTTCAGTCTCCATCGTATTATAAACCGCCTCATATAGATCCACTCCCCCTAATCTGCATAAATGACCTACTCTTCATACTGGGCAGACCTACATTGACAAGTCCTTGTTGACAAGTCCATTGACAACAACAGAGTCTGTGGCAGGTAAATATCTCCAAGCATTGCTACTGTGGCCACTGAAATGGGGATAATCTCTGCAAAAATGAAAGCTATATGACACCTTATTTCCAATCAAAATAATTTTAACAAAATCCTAAACACAGGATGTGGTGAACAGATTACTACTAAACAGTTCTGCCTTACCGTAAGCAACCAGAAGTGTTCTTGAAGACAGTTGTCCACTCAGCATCACGAGGCTTAGAGTCCTCATTTGGCTCACTCTCCCAACCTGAATGGGGTATAATGACCTCATTGGTAAGCGTCTGCAGACCATGGTTGATGATGACCATCTTCAGGGGCTCGTAGGACGATAAATTCCACAGCGTGCCTGAAGGAGAAACAGTGATTATTAAGTAACAAGAGAATATAACTATTTAAAATGTCTAGATTAAATAGAATCACTAGATTCATAGAGAATCACTAGCAGGTTAAATCATAAAACTAAATGCAAAGGTGAAACCACTTGATGAGACGCCAGACTCACAAAAAGCTTAGGGAAAATTCCACAGTCGCTGCAACAGAAACATTTCCAAAAGCATGGATGCATCTTTATCAAGACATGGAAATTGCTGAAGTTCAGTCTTACAACAGAGTACAGAAATGTGATGTGCTATTGCGAGATTAATCAGATTTTTCTGCTGTATACAAATTTTGTTACACTTTTAAGTCTAGCTATGCCTCAAAAAGTAAAAATTCATCCAGTGCAGCAGACAAGTGTATTGAGCAAGTCTTAAAAACAGGGATGAATTTATGGACTGTCATTGATCTTACGCTTACCCTTTGCACAAGACAGTATTTCACTGAATACTCCTCTCTATTAACTTACTTTCACATTTTCTTGTCACAGGCAATCTGTGTTCAAACCACGTGATGCCACAAGCATATGATTCCCTGAAGAAGTTGAGAACCAAAACCCCTCTGTCTTTCCATTTTTACCTCAATTACGAGCCAAAGTAGACAGAAGTCAAACATCAACACAACGTAACAGAGGAACAGCCTTAGAACTGCAAAAATACCCAGGCTCAGATAAGTGATACAACTTCCCAGCAGACCTCTCTCAGTGTCCTGACAGTTATTGCTCTTCAGCTTAGGACTAAACGAGGACATTCACTTCAGAGACAATTTCTGCATAGGCCCAACCTGGTAAGATTTGAAAACTATCAGTAACACCACGTGGAGGGAGCCAGACGCACACTTTTGGTTTCCAAGGAAAAGTGTGAAGACTAGCAAAATTTCAGCGACCGAATGGAAAAGCTAGATTCCCCAGAGCACACGGGAAACCTTTCCTAAGCGGATACAATATTAACCTGAGGCTCCCTGTGTTAGTACAAGTGTGGATTTGTGCATGTTACATAATATGCGCAGAGAAAATTGTAGATACTCACCTCTTGGTATACACGTCTAAAGCAAAAGACAAAAGAAAAACGAAGGTGCAATCTTTTGTTTCAGCTCCTTGCAAGCACTCTAAGTTTTAAAACCTACAATTTTCAAATTAAAAAGACTGGATTTTTCAATCTATCGCTTTTGTTACACAGTCTAACACACACATGGACTTGCCGGACCCAGTCAGTCAGCGGAAAGCGTGTAGTAGCGAGGGCGTCCGCAGCTGCGCAGTGACCCAGCGCGCCAGAGGACCGCCAGAGCCACCACACCTCCCTCCGGACGAGCGGAGGCAGCCGTCTCGTGGGAACTCTCCTTCACGCTCGGGCTTTCACTGCTACAAGTTGGAAGTGTCAAGTGCCAAATGCCCTATTTTAATATCAGGGTATTATCCATATCCAGTCACGACAGATACCAGGTCAGGATGGGAATTTTATCTCCATTTGAGTAGCGACTGGCACTTATATGACAACCTCGAAGGCTGAGGATTAGCAGAGCCTCCGAAGTGAAATGCTACGGTGTCTCCTATTCAAAGCGATCTTTACAAAATCCAGGCATCTGTTCAGACTGAGGAGACCGTATTAATTAAGAAAGAAACTCTGGGGCAGATGACAGAATGAACACCATGTTTCTTTCAGTCTTTTTCTAAAACCATTCAAAAACATTGCTTTTTTGGCCTACTGCCCTTGCATTTCACAGACAACACACTGTATGAGATTTTTATAACCTACTTTTTTTAGCTTTCAAACAAGACTATATAGGTGAAATACGAATTAATTTTCTCTTCGTACCCATTACAATAAATCACCTTTGTCACTGCAAAATGGACAATAAGAAAACAATGGACAATAAGAAAAAACCAAAACAAGCAGAAAATGCTAATTGGCCCCATTTTGTTGTGGAAGAAAGCCTTTACTTCTCATAACAGATTGGCTCAAAAATATACATCATGCAAGAAACAAACGCAAGTCAATATTTCTAAGACGACTATAAGAGCTGACATATAAGCTACCCAATTAATTTTAAATACTTCACTAGTGAGTCTTTAGTTATTGCACACCAATTCCTTAAGCATATCAGAATCACTGACATAAAAATAATAATTACAATTAAATCTCTAAATGCATTGCTGACTCAGTACTTCAAAATTCAAATGCAAAATCCAAACATCCATCACTCAACGAAATAGATGAATACCAGGAAAATCATCTCTGGAGCAAACCTAAATTCAAACTGAGAACAGTGTGCGCACAACACCCTGGTTCTGGAGGGTTATGTCAGGGTTCCCTCACAGGATCGTAAGCGGAGCATTCGGTATTTGCAGCGGTCAAAAAAAGCACTAGGAGGAAAAGACGGCATCAAATGAGAACCTAGTACAGTGTTCGCAAGGATCCTGCATTTCTGTTCTTGTGAAACTGCAAAATATTGCAACTGGAAATAAGGTGCAGACTTAAAATCATCTGTATGTGGAAGAGCTAAGTTTTAAAATCTAACAGCCCCTCATATTTAAGGGCTCCTTCCTTAAATGCACATACTACTTTTGCACCTGAAATGAGATTCTGCCTTCTCCCCTTTCCTGGAAGAGTGACATAATGTGAATGTGTTATCTGCACAGTGAAACTACAAAGGCAGATTTCACTGCTTAGGAACAATCAGGCAGACATATACTTAAAACGCAAAAAAACCCCTATAAAATTTCCAAGAGCTCTAATATTACAGGATTGCACAAGAGTTTTCCAATGCTCAAAGCTTTTTCTTGTTTTAAGACTGAGATATTTGTGTCTAGATTTCAACACCTTCAACCCCAATGTGGAAAATAAAATCATCACCTCCAAACTCCCTCTTCTCCTACATCCTCATTCACCAGTAGTCACCTCAAGAGATGAAATGCATCTGGGAGTCAATAGCATTCTAACTGGATTGCGACACTGAAAACAGCACTAACCTGCCAATCCACCACACACAAGTCTGCCTCGCTGATGCTAGTAACCCCACCCAGACCAAGAGAACTACCTGTACATACTTATCCAGAATTTTTCTTAAAATCTATGCAATACACCATTTAAGGCAAACACATTTTGACCGTCGATCTCATTGAATGGCTACCAGACAACAGGGACTGAAGTTAAACAGAATGCCTTTTCTCCATCCTCTTTGAAGAAAAAAAACCCCCAACAGTTCACAAGCTTTTCCATTTCTCATCTACCTCCCATCTCTCAAATATTTCATAGAAAACTCCAACAAACTGTGAAGAAGAATACAAGACAGTCTTGCCATTAAAAAAAGCACAAACTATTCAAATTATTCAAAAAAGACAAACCACTTAAACTTATAATAGTCGTCTTATGGTTGCATGAGGAAAACCAAAACAATGTCTCTGTTGAACAGCACTCAGCAAAGGAAAATGTGCAGCACTTAACAGAAAGGTAGCCCAGGATAAACAGGGATGAGGGAATCTTGTGGTTCCAAAGGCAGAGGAAAAAAAAAATTCCGATTCGAGGTTTCCACAAGAAAGGATACAGAAAATGAACAGTGACAACACATTTTTCTTACTCAAAATTATGAAACAGAGGTCTAAATCCCAGCATCCTTTCAGCTATTGAGAAAAATTCCATAGAAAACACATTGATAGTGACAGCCACAGAAACTTCAAAAAAAGTTAACAAATTCAGATCACACTGCAGGTTTTAGCAGTGTAAGAGAAAATCTGAGTAAAAAAATTAAAATCCCTGTAAATTTGACATCCATGTCATAAAAACATTCCCTGTCTCTATTAGCATAACACATTAATGATCTAACAAGCTGGAAATACTATTTTTAAGACTTCAAGTTTAATCAATTCAAATGACTATCACTTGAGAGAAATCAAGTCACTAACACAGCAGCATAAGGGAAATGAAAATTTCCAGGCATTTTCACTATGCTTTTTGACTGCAGATTGCATGAATTTTAAGACTAGATAAAGATGATGAACTATTACTTTTCACAAGATAATCACAATAATGACCAATTTTTATTTTATTCATAAATACTATTTGTAATATACTTACGTATTTCTAACTACAACCATTACCTCTACTCTTTGAGGACGTTAAGCAGGAACAACAGCTACAAGTATTTATTTCAAAAGTACTGATTATTGTAAAATATATTAAAAATTACTATAAGCTATCAACATTAGCGATACGATTGACGTAACTTAAAAAGCGGTTAGGGCCACAGCCCTAATTTCCTGTATCATCTCCTCCTTGGAGCTGTGGAAAGATTCCTAAGGAATTGTGGGAGAATACATACATGCTATTATCTTCTGAAATCCAAGGGAAATCTTTTCCTGCTGTGCTTGCTTACTTGCAAAAATCCAATGTCACAAAGAAATTAGAAAAAGCTGTTTAATTGTCCATCTATGGTCCATACCGAATAATTCACCATTTGGAAAAAAAAAAGTGCTCCGCATCATATTCACCAAGGACTTCTTGCTGCATGTTGGTCCTGTATGCATTTGTTTGACAGACTTGTTTTTATCATTCTAAGTCCTGAAGACTGGAGCTGTGCTGCTTCAAGTTAAGTCATGGTAAAGTCGAGAACCTCAACATGAACTACTGTGTCATAGAATACACCAGGAAAAGGGAACTTCTTCTGACAAGCCTTCTAGTAGAAAATGGAAGGAGTAAGCTGATGTGTAATCAGAAAATTCAAGACAGCATGGTATTTAAAAGAGAAGTTAGTGTGTGATCAGCTGACAGGATCTTAGATACACAAATGCCCAGGTGTGAATTCTGAGCAAGTTGATCACTCTGCAAGCTTCTAATACAGTGTTAGATCAAAATATTTCTTCTGCAGAGCATTTTGAAGGTCAATCATTTTTCAGTCAAAACCAGTTTGGCCACATACAGCATCAGGAAAATCACGTTCTGCACCACTTAAAATCAGTGCAATGTCGTTAAACAACAAAATTACTTTTAATGTGCTCACAAAGAACAAAATTATTCATTAAAGCTACCAACTTCTGATTGCTGTTCAAAGAATGTAATAGAATTTTGGTCTTGCATGTCTGATGAGAACACTTCCTCCACAAAAACAACTTATCACTCAAGATAAAACTTCTGCAGCTTCTCTACTGGAACAGATTTAACTCCTTATCAGTTTAATCCTCCTTTCTCTCGGTTTCTCAAGAAAACGATTCACTGAAAGTTCAGCAGTACAGTTTCAAGACTATAAAGGGATGCAAGGAAGAGTTTTGTGGGATATTTCTCATCACAACTCTACTCATGATTTACTTATGGACACTCTAACAGTTAAATCAAGCTTTTCTCAATGCAGTAGATGGGAGGTATTTTGCAACTCCACACTTTCGAAAGAAAGAAAAGTGAGATCTGTGGTATTTTATGAATGTAACCTGAGTTTTGAAGGTATTTTTACATACCTCATATCCATCTAACTTTGAGGGACATCATGTTTTAGTGCCATGTGCAGATATATCAACAATGTCTGGTAAAACAGAGATGGCATTAATCCAGAGAAGGTTCTCAAATTCTGCTAAAACCAGTGCTATCTGAAAGAAAAAGCTACAGACTTGCTTAATCTGGCAGTAGTGTTTTACCAGTACAGAGCCTGCTTCCAAAATTGCATGTCAATACGTTTGCCTAACTTGCGTTCTCCAAAACATATATTCTGGGAAGTAGTCAAGTGAACACACTTCCGACACATCAACTCTCCCTCATTCAGCACTGAGCATCACACATCCGATTCCTCCCTCATGCTCCCCTGCCACTGCATCTACCTCGTATGTGTTTTTAACATATTGGTGTGGCTTTTTTCCCACTCCATTAACCCACTGACCAGACCCAGCTGGCTGGCCTGATTCATACTGTTCTGGACAGCTGTGGCTGCTGTGTCGGATCACCAAGTTAATGAGAGGCCATGGAGCTGTACTAAAGCCAAGGACTGACTCTCAAATTAAATGGGAATGATGCTCTCTTTTGCCAGAAAGCAGCCTCTCCAGCAGCAAATAATGTGTCTTACTGCATCCTCCCATGTACCTCTTGTCCTGCAGGCAGGCAGTGTCCGACACCCAGAGAACCAAAACTTCAAGACTGAAGCGCTCTTGAATTCAGACTTCTGAACTACATCAATTTCTTTAAATTACTGAAATCTCTTTGGAAAAGAGGATTATTTTATCATTTGCCCACATGTGGGATGACCAGCTGATGATTACTATTCAGCTTTCAAAAAGCAGCCAGTACTGAGTTTAAGAAATATTAAACCACAGAAAAATCAATGTGTCATACCAAACTTGAATTTGCAGCCTGTTAAAAGAAATAAACAAGCAAACCCTGTATGCTGTTGTCTTCCCCCCCCCGCCTTTTTTTTCCCCACTGCTGCAGAAGTCCCCAGAGATTTCACTCCAGACAGAATAAAAAAATCTTTCATTGTGAAGGTAGACTTTGGTTTATGACTAAGGAAAAGTACTCTGATAGGAAGTCAAGATTTCTACCGTAAGAATATCAGAATTGTGATCTGAATTTCTGAGGCTGCAAAACACAGTCCTTTTTGTAGCAGCTCTGGTTGAATGCTCCCTTTGCACTTCAAGTTGGCTCTTGTTTCTCTCTGCTGACTTTTAGACCTCATTTTTCGAATGGACAATTCCACATTATCAGTCTAGGCTTTGAACACTGACTGCAAGTACACCAGCATCAGTTCTCAGAGGCATTGCTGGAATACTCTCCTTTTCTATATTGATGCTTGAATGTCTCACACCAGATCTGGTGATATCATTTTAGAAGTGGAATGAAATTCTTCCTGGTTAGGTGGAGATTAAATGCACATCACCTGTTGCTGGACATCTATTTAAGTTAATGCCCTCAGTATTCCTGGTGTTTCTCAGTAAGGGGAAATAAAGAGCTTTAAGTAGCAAAAACCAAAGCGGAATAAAAATACTGTATTTAATTATCAGGAGCTACTGTCAAATAAAATGCATTTGAACAGTAAAACTAATTAATCAACTGGAAATCTAAGCAATCACCATTTAGAGTGAAAAGGGAAAACATGCAGTTTGGTTTTGTCATCTCAGAAGTGACTGATTAGCACTTAGCACTATAATGATATTCCTTCAGAGTAAATTATAGACTGGCTTCTCCTTTCTTGAATCTAAAGAAATAAATTTATTCCTTCTCAGCACTCCAGAAACGAGTTTTGAGTAAACTAGAACAGTAGATAAACAGATATTCTTTATTTAAAATAAAAAAATTAAGTCAGCCATCATACTAAATGAGCGCAACAAATGGGATATAAATACTACCTACAGAGTTTCCATGTTAAGAGACAAAGCACAGACAGCAATCAAAGCACAACCACCACATGCTACTTCAGAGGTTCTCTGCCAAAATAGGCAGCTCTCCTTTGCTAGCTCACCGGAAAAAGACTGGAATAATATCCCTGCTAGTTTCTAGAATGTATATTTAGATGTAGTTTGCTAAATATCCTATAATGGCTGGGGAAGAACAGTTGGAACGGCCAAGGCCACTGTTCATCTCAGAGAATTATGATTACTAGTAAAAACTTGGAGAGCTACTATAATTTTTTTGAGGCGATTACAGAATTATGAGGTTTACTTCTAATGGCTTAATCCATGTTTGCAATAGGGTCTGCCTGGAGAATCCAACACTGATAAGTTAGCTAAACAGTTTCAGCCCTGGACCCATTTTCACAATTTGAAAACTTTCTGAAAAATTCTGTTCTGGCACTGAAAGTCATTGCAACTGCCCTGGTCTCCATCCAAACATCCCCTGCTGCTTCTGAGAAGAGAAAGAGAAATCCATTTCACTCCTCATGAGTTATGGGAGACTGCAGAACAATATATTTCTCCACAGTTTAAGAGCTGACATACTTTTCCACCCTTCTCCACTTAATGGCTGAACTTTGAAACTTGGCATATAGTTTATTACTCTTTTTGGATGATGTCCAAGACTAAGTTCAAATAAAAAACAGGTTGAATAATGGAGTTATATGTAATTGAAAACTCCCTGCAAAGTGTGCATGAACTCAGTAACTTCAAAATGTAGTTCTCCCTTTTCTGTTTATTGCAACAAACGAACCCTGTGTCCAGAGCATCTCAACAACAGACTCTACACTCCTTAAAATCTGAGTTTTCCAGCCCAGAAGTGCCACAACTTTATATACAGCCTCGAAGTCCCCAGCACCAGGGGCTGGAAGTGTTCCTGAGGAGACTGTTCTATCAATATGAAGCAGTGGGGACATGGCAGCAGGATTGTTTTATAAGAGATTAACAAGGAAAGTTTCAGATTAGCATATTTTACCTCATGATTACAACACACTGAGGGCAAGCACACTACAAATTACCTGTCAATGAAGTTGCTATAACTCATTTAAGCTTCAGCAACTCAACCACATGCAGTTGCATGCTACATCCAAGAAGCATCATCCATCTCTCAGCAGCCAGGGAAACCCAAGTGTGCTACATACACAGATCATTGCGATTTCCTCCTGAAGGGCACATTTGCCTTAGGCTTTCTAACACCACAACTGTGGTGCAACTAAAGAAACAGCTGCAACCAGTGATCTAAATTCTCCTTCGATGCTCTAATCTCCAGAAATTCTTGTTCCTGAAGCTGAAAGGAGTCCTCTAAAGAATAATTCATTAAAGAAACTACAGACACTGACCTGTAATTAGCTCTCTGACTTCCATGTCATTTGTTTTTCGCAATAGTCTGATCAATGCAGGGATCCCATCACAGTTCTTTATAGCCACCTTGTTTTCATTATCCTTCCCATAGGAGATGTTTCTGAGAGCCCCACAGGCTTTACGATGGACCTCCGGCTTTGGATGATCAAGTAGGCCCACCAAGATAGGTATCCCTTTAAGGTGCCTCACGTCCTTTTTGATTTTATCATTCTCGTAGCACAAGTGCTGCAAGTAGGCTGCGGCGTTAGACTTGACTGGATCAATAGGGTGGCTGAGCATGGCAATTACTTCAGGGAGGTCAGGGTCCCTCCACCTGGGGTCTTTACGAATGCTGTCAATAGAGGGGGAGCGCTTCCCCAGACGGTCAATACTAGCCATGCTTCCTCTCTCTGGCTGTGCCAGTGGTGCTGCGTAGCCACCATGAAGGTAAGGGATCCGCTCTTCAACCACTTCTGTCTCAATGGGGTCATCGTAGCCCCTGTAAGAAGCAGCAGTCCCAAGAGAAAGAAAGGGGAGGGAAAAAAAAGCACATTTAAACACTGTGTACCTCTGAGTCAGTATGGAGATTTCAGCTATGAGCAAACCTTTTAATATCAGAAACATCATTAGGGGCAGCATATTTACACTTTCAAATAATTTATTTGTAGTAACTTGAAAATTAACCATAGCTGAGTACTCAGCAGTGATGGGAGTACAGCACAGTATTTGGCTAGCAACAAAATGATGACAGGAACTGCAACTCATCTAACAGATTGTTTTCATTTTGGTCACTTAGTAAAACAATTATGATAGAGCTGGATTACATTTAGTAGGAAACACAGAGCTTCATTAATGCTGCTACTTCAACAAACCAAAACTCTAATTAAAGGCATTCAAGGCCTGGGCAGAGACCACAGACACTTTTCAGCAAGTCTGAGAAGTTCCACTACATTTCCACGTTGACGGTCACACAAGTGAACTCATCAATACATATAATGTAAAAAATGATGGAAAACCTAAGTCCTGAATGCAAGCATGTAATAAAAATCTACCTTGTACAGAATCATTTGGAATACAGGTAAGAGGCTGATGGTCAGAAGACCTGGGTCCAACTTTTAAGATCAGAGTAATTTGCTGGACACCTAAAACGAGTCCAGGACTCCGAGCTTTCCTCTCCAGATCAGCAACTAACCTAGATGTTAGACACTCTTAAGATCATTTACAGCACGAGAATGAATGGCATCCATCTCATTGTGCCATAATTCACTGTGTGTAACTGAAGTAAGGTCAGTCACAACCAGCTAACACACCTATTTAGATTATTACTGTCCTATTTCACACAAAGGGCGAAATTACAATCAACACAGTTGAAAATATTCTAACATAGGCACACGTTCTCACACTACAAATGTCCATATTCTTTTAAAAAATTAAATAAACTGGTGTTTGACAAATATTTCTTTTTCTTTAACAACCACCGCTGCAACTATAATCTCTCACCTTCAGAAAGAAATCCCCATACCCCACAGCCCGCCCCCCCAATCAGTTCCTACAAACTAGCTGCTAACAACAAAACATTTCTGCAAGAGATTTGTAAGGAAAGGAATTTACAACTTCAGAATTTGTTTTTGAGATTCACTGATATACTTCATTCCTTATTCAAAGTGACACCTTTCGTCCTCCAGAACACGCACAGTTAGTGCAGGGGAGCTTCAGTGCGTGTGCAGCGCACTCGTCCGAGGCTTGCACACAGTGACTCACTGCTCACAAATTCTTCAACTTTGTCTGTGAATAAGCCCACGGGGCAATAAGGTGACTTACACCTAACAGTTATGAACTCCCACAAACACTCTGAAGTTCACAATCCATCCTCTCTCAGACTTTGCCCCTGAGGCTCACACCACCTCATTAACCTGGCTGAGAAGGATCAAGAGCTGAGGTGACCCACAGGGGACCCAAATCAAAATTCCAATTTTCCCATTGTTTTAAACCTCAAGTCTAGTAATGTCTCTTCTTCACCCCCCCCCCCCCCCCCAATACTGCTCTTAATAGATGTTAACATAATCCGACTTCTTAGATATATATTTATTTTTTAAAAAAAGCAGCAGCTTTTTGCCCTACTGTATTTTCCTGGACAGATTAGCTACTATCTCAGTATTGTAGTTATCTCAGTCAAGCAAGTGGTTTTAATTGCTACAAAATCATTCTTAAAAACTTTCATTTTAAGCACTGACTGCTGTTAGTCAGAAGGAAGTACAGACCATTAGAACTCAGAAAGAAAATGGAGCTTGCTGTTATCCCAAAGGGACTGCTAATTAAACCAGACTCTGGGGAGAAGAGCAACCGGAGGTGGAGACTGAACTTAGTCTTGTACAATTAACGCTTTTAATGTTAAAAGCGCCTCTACTGACTTTAAGTTGCTTTAATTGCTGTTCTAAAGCATAAACTGAATGAAAGGATAAAAATGGGCCAGTATCCAAAACTCCAAATGAATCTGACGAAATCCTTTTATCGATGCAGTTATTTGTGTATGTATAATTCAGTACTTGCTCTACACAGTAATTTACAATGTCTGGACAGCTGTTGTATTTTCTGTTAGAGAACAAAGCTGTTTCCATCATTCGAAGAACAAAGTAACAACATTGAGAAGATTTACTTTTGTGCATATACACAGGGCAGAAGTAATAACAAAACCCCTGAACTACTCCTCAAACGAAATTCTAATTTTTACATATGCAAATTTAGGACAACCCGCATTAAAACTACAAAAAACCCTCATTTCTCAAACTCATCCTCACGTTAAAATTCTTATTGACTGCATAGAAGAAAAATAGCAAAGGATTAATTTTAATAATTGCCCTCTGCACAGCTGTTGCTTGCTTGACTTGGTAACTCGCAATTCAGCACACCTCAGTCCTATGAGCTGCCCACAAGGTAACTGCACACCACCTCAACTACACCCGCACAATTAAGTTTCTCTCTCCTTCTCATCCGTGCAAATACATAAATGTAATTCTTGTCTTGGGATGCAGTTTGTTTGCATTATTTCCACAAAGCCTTCCAAACAGAACCACACGGATGGGCCCATCTTCCTCATGTTGTATCCTCTCCCCTGTGCCACATAAAGCCCCTCAGTTTCATTACATTTGCCCAAAATAAATCTTCAGAGTTAGGTCTTTAAATTGCAACACTGTCACGACAAGACAGCGCACCAGATCACTCTTGTACCAACAATACAAATTTTTTTGAATTGTCAATCAATAGTTATTAAATATGAATATGAATACCTGAAGTAACCACTCATTAAAAAAAAAAACATCACATCCAAACTTGCTACTTATTCTAAGAAAGTTTTTTTTAAAAAGGCGTTTTTTCTTCCATTGTTTCGATACAAAGCTACTGATGCACCAAAGACAGCCAACAGGCTCTGATGATCATTGCCTTTGATGATGCCTCTCTGATGAAGTCCCCAGGGCTCAGAGCTGGGGTAGAACAGGATATGGGAAGATGCCAAGTGTTTCATGCTGCGGGGAAGAGGTTGCATTCCCGAGTGCCATGGGTACGGAGAGCTGTGGATGGTTTAGGACGAATCACGCAGGTGGTGGTGGGGAGGACATCATTGCTTAGAACCCACCAGCTACTGCTCTGTGGTGAAGTGCTGACCACAACACATACTGCTGGCCCCAAATCCATAGCAGAAGCAAAGCATCCTCAAGAAAACAGGCCCTGAACTATAAGTGACTTTTAACAACTGCTGGCATTCTCATAACAGTCTCATTCTTACATGAACCATTCACTTATGACACTGTTCCTGTCAATCTCAACCAGATTCTGCTGGACCACCTCCTTAGTGGGAAAACAAAAAAAAAGAACTGCACATCTAACATGACTATTTTAGTACACAAAGACAACTGCTTTGAAACAAGACAGTGTCTCTCAAGTATTTGTAGAGAAAGGATGAACACAAGAAACACTATTGCTGAAATAAGCCCACACAGGACAGATCCAACATACTTCTGTAGGATGAAACAATGTCAAGAGCTGCTGGTTAAATACATAAGTAACAAAACCCAACGACTTTAACTGGCAGCAAAGAGAACACCTGCACACATGACCTTTCAAGACCCTGAATAACTATCTAAAAACTCTGACAAATTTTACAAGGGAAGCTCTAAACGCCAGCTCTGGCATTGCTTAACAGCATTAAAGGGAAGCAGTTTATCAAAGCGGATCATCTGCAAAGGAGCAAAGTAACTGATCGGGCAGCATAATGCTGAACTGCCAGACGGCCTTTGGCTGCCTTGGCAGACAGAGATCCCCCCACGCTCTGCGCAAGCAAGGACGGTCTGGCCCAGGTCAAGTCCCATCTCCCTTCCTTTAACAGGGGGCTTGGGGACCATAGAAGTGCAGACTAGTCAAACAGTTAAGTCAAAAGCAAGTACCTCTCTGGGAGTTAAACACACCCAGTTTCTGAAGACAAATTACTAAAATCGGCAACACATTTATACACAGAGAGAGTAAAGAAATCACCTTTCTGAGCTGGACTGGTGGGGGCCAAATGTGATTTTTCGCTTTCACACCAGCAGAGCAGCTACGTTGCAAAGACAAGACACTTGAGACAGAAGAAGGGCTAATGAGAGCTTCAGCAGATACAGTCATCTGTGCTCAGGAGGACAACAGCTCTTTACTCTTGGGACTGAAGAGATCTGGTAATATGCCAGAATTGTTGACTACAAGCATCTTGCCTTCCATCTGTTTGTAGCAAGGGAGTTTTTAGGATGCTGTGGGTCTCACTAATCACCTGTCTCAGGGAACTGATCAGAACGCATCCTAGCATAGATAAAAACTGGGAGAGATCTTGTGAATTTATCATCTTCCTTGTGGCTTCAACATAGGCACATTTGAATAAACAGGTGAAGGATTTACACATTTAAGCCTCAACAGTTTATACAAGTGATATGTTCATCACAATGTGCAGCTGGTGTCTGCTTGGGATAAAAGACCAGAAAGGCTTGGGATTTCAGTAGAGAACTTGGTGCCAAACATTGAAGAGGAAATCTAAACACTTTGCAGAATGAGGTCCTACTTTTGCCAGCTTCTGTTCCCTGATCGGAGGACACACAAGAGGATTCAAAACCAGACTGAATCATCTGCTGAGACAAGTCTGAGTTATGGGTCATATGGTTAAAACACCAACAACCCCTTCACTGGAACCACCTAAAAGCTGCTAATGGATGAGCTGACTCAGGTTTCCACCTGCCACATAAAACTCAGGCACACAAAACTCAGCCACACATCAGTCTTCCTACCAGGAGATCAACAAACTGAGATAAAATTCACTGTAAGGAGGAGCCTCAGAAAAACACAAATCTTTTCCAAACTGACTGCATTTTTTGCTTTACCCCATGTCTATACACTCCTGCTCCAAACTAGACAACATCTCAATGTTGCCTACATCCTGGTATTCACTTATGGTTGGTCATTAAACCAGAGGCCTACCTACAGCGATAGGTATCTTCCCCAGCCTCAGGATGTCTGCATGGGTGCTGCTGTGAGATCACAGTTGAAATGGGTCAAGTTAGGCCAGAAGTGCTGACTGAAAGTTTATACACAAATATAAGCCTTTATAGTCTAGATTGAAAAAGGAGACCAGAAGCAGAATGTGACTAACATATATGCAATATCAATATTCTCGCACTGTCTATACGTAACAGAAGCAAGAGAGACCTAGCGTTACAGTTATTGAATCTAAAATCTGGCTTGTTTCCTGGTAATTATTATTTGGACCATGAAGTGACCACCAAATATAGTCTCAGTGTCTTAGATCAGGCTTCTGTCATAGAAAATTTAACAGCAGAAAACTCTTCTGTTGTTGATTTAGCCAATATGAAAAATTCATATCCTGTCTAGTCTGGAGTAGTAACACCGGCAATAGCTGCTCCAAAGTTTTTAGGGAAAAAGAAGTCCCATGAATGGTAGTGTAAGTGCAAACTGTAGTGATCCACTCTGGAAAGAAATTACCACAGAGGCAAGAAATGTGAAGTTGAACAGAAGATAGTTTAGAAAAAGAAGATGAGTCTATGACTTGCCATTTTTTCCTGCTCATTTGTGTTAAGTTCAATTTAAAGATTAAAAATATTCATATAATAGTAGGGATGGTTTTTGTGAATGAACAATATTCAGTACTTCCTGCTTCTCTTTCGGAAAGGACTGTATATAAAACACCTAGCAATGCAAGACTCCGTATTTTTGAAGACAGTAATAAAACACTCCCTACTTTAATAAGGGCAACCTACCAAATTAAGAAAAAGGGGCATAAAACCAATTAAAGATGTGTAAATACCTTCACAAGTAAATTTGAGTAGTATTAAATCAATATGACACACCTCAAATCCTTTAGTTTCACCCCAACTTATTATGCACTCTGACTTAAACCAAACCAGAGTGTGTACTGAGGAAAATAACATTAAGGGCCACGTATTCTTATTGCAGAAAATAATACATCTTAGAGCAGAGACTCAGTATGAAAGAACACAAGAAACATACCGAGCCACAAGCACTGAAGAGCCAACAGAGGGAATGCTGCCTTTGTGCACTTAGCTGGATTTGTAGATGTTTGTGAGGAAGCACATTTTTCCCCAATTTAAGATGAAATATAAGTAGCTTAAAATGAGGCTGGTAATGACAGAAGGAAAGCACGATAGATATTTATCTCTGTGATGAAATGGAGCAAGCAAGGGATGGAAAGAACAATGTGCACTTGTAATCCCCTCGACTAGGATCCCCTCCAGACACAGCTGGGTTGGCTCCTTACCACATAAGGAGTGAGACTCACTACTGCAGATTCAGAAGAGAAACCTCCACTCAGTCCTCTCAGAACAGCATCAAAACTAGGAACGGACAGTAAGGGTCCTTATTGTACCTTTAGACTATTAACAAATAAGCACAGCACTTACTGGGAAGAAAATGAGAGAATAACTTAAGTTTCTGCAGTGAGTTAATGAACAGAAGAATTCTGTTTGCAACACGATGAAGGTGCCCAAGCCGAAAGTTGGCACGATGCAGAAAAGCTTCTAACAGTGTTGTTGCTATACATACTCTACACACACAAACTTTTTGAAATCAAAAGTGCCATCAATTTATCACATTCATTTAGTAATTTTCACATGGAATAACTTATTTAAAAAAAAAAAACCTACAGAGGAATAATCAAGTAGTAATCACCCTCATCTAGTACAAAGCACTATTGGTAGTCTTTAGTTTCTCACAGATCAGTAGCATATCTGAAATGCAGGTTTATCGACTTGTTCAAGTATTTCTTTGAAATGTCAAAAAGTAACTACTTATAAAGAGGCCCTCATACAATCTTCTTGTGTTCTCACTAGCTAAAGTCTGCTGCCACAGTCAGGCTAATTACTTGTCAAAGCCTCTTGATCATGTTAAATGTGGAAAAAACAAGAGAGACGTAAACCACAAGTTTTGAATTGATCCTACTGAAACTGCAAGGAACAATATATCAAAGGGATGTTAAAAAACAACCACTTTAAAAATGCAAATGGGTATGTTCTAAGAATACATTTAATTATTCATCATGCATACAGTTTGAAAATTATTAATAAAAATTTAAAAGCACTTCTGCCTGACTGTCTTTAACGAGAACTGTAAACTTGCTTAGATGCAGGGGAGCACCAATTAAAGTTTGATAGACTGATCAGTATTTTGGCACCCGTCGGCTGCAGGTATTCCCTTTAGCCCCATAATGTGGTTCCACTGGTTGGTAAGCTTGCAAGATCAAAGATGTCACAAGGGACTTAAAGGCCATTCTGGGAGATATGCCCCAATACCTTTTATCTTTCTCTCTTTTTTTTTTTTTAAATATAGATGACAATTTGCAGGTGCTTGATTCCACTTAGCTTTAAAATGAACTTCCAGAAATGTGAAGAATGAAACCATGAATGACATAACATGTCCAGATAGGAGCGCTCCAAGACAAGAGAGCAAAAAGTCCTGCCTAAATCCCACCGACAGCTACTGCTGATAAAGTGAAGCCTTCGGTCAGAAGCATTAAGTCTAAAGACCATCTACACACACAGAGGCAGGTGGGTTCCAGACTCTGTTTACAGCTCTGGAAACTACTCTAAATGAAAAAGAAAATAATGAGAACTAAATCATATCGAAACATGAATCTTTAAGATATGACTTCATGCAGGCACACACAAAAGTTTGCTTGGAACACAAAGTACGCAAGTTTTTCAAGTTCATACTCAGAAGACTACTTTCAGCTGAGTAATAAGACTCTCTTACCAAGCTTGTTTTTCTTTTTCTCCAAATGCAAGAGATGACAGCTGTGAGCCCAGCGTAAACAACTAGTATCAGAAAATATGGCATAAAATAGAACATCTCTTGTAAAGGGGACTGAACCAGAAGTAATTTGTGACTGGTCACTTCAGTTACGTTAAGTGCAACAGAGGTGCTCTTTATCTCCCCTTTATACAGGCACAGAAGAAAATAATGATCCGGTCTTACAAAATGTTGAAATACTTCAGTGAGGTTCAGCACAACCTGGTCATGCAGCTGAGGGTGTGCAGCTAACACAGGATCAGAAGCTGAGGCTGTCAAACACCTCATGAGACAGCTTTTATATAACGAGGCATCCCTTCACCGTCACATATCAGCTTGTCTGCAATCCCAAACAGCTGTTCAAAATTTTTGTTGGCAGATGTGCACATAACCAGTCCTGTCAGAAGTCTCACAGATTACAAATGCCTTTTTTCACCTTGCTAGTGTGGGATGGCTCTGGGACAACGTAATGCAGTCATAACTCTTTTTTAGGAACGGGGGCGGGGGGGGGAAGTAACTTAGCCCTCTTCTACAAGATTATCTCTTTCTTTCTAAATTCAGAAATTTCAGAATAAAATTCCAGAAACATTGGAAGTGTTCTTGAGCCCTACCCTCACTCCCTTCTGTATTTCATGTGCATTTTGCAGTCACTTATGGGCTAATGAAATGATGGGTTCTACCTGTTTTTCTGTCACGTAATTCCAGAACTTACCAGACCGTTAAGAGTTCAAATGTATATGTTCAAATAAGCAAAACAGCTGCAGATTAGCACTGTAAAAAACAAATGGGTTTTACCTTCCTTTGTGAGGTCTTCCTCTCTCCGGCACACCTGCAGATGTCCTCCGGTTCACAGTGGAGTAATCAGGATCCAGTTCATACCCTTCATCATCTACTCCAAGGCTGCGGTTATCATCTTCCAGTCCATAGGGCTCTGGCTGGAAGCGTTCTGGCTGGGAACGGTTTAAGTCAATGTTGCTACCCACTGGCACCTGAGGCTGGGCAACAGTACCATAGTTATCCCTTCTACTTGGCAAAGTGAAGCTACCATCATCTGGCCTGTAAGTGTTTCCTGGCACGTAGGCATAACGAGGACGGTAGTTGACACCACGAGACAAACTGCCGTAGTTATCTGATAGATCTCCATAACCATCATGACTGATATAAGGGCGATACTGGCCTTCGTGGTTTTCAGGGTAAGAATCGTTGTAGTTGTTGTAAGATCTGGTTAACGTTGATGATGCTTGTGGTGTGATGTACCGCTCCCCATTCTTCATGTACCTTCTGTCTATTGAATCTGTGTAGCTGCCCATGGGAGACGAGCCATCCATTGATGGCAGACCATCAGGCCCAAGTGGCACCTGCCGCACTGTTCTAGTGGTGACTGTTTTGACCATTTTGGTAACCTGTGAGGAAGCAGCAAATAAATATGTTAACTTTCTCCTTGCTGTACAATGTGATGAGATATACGGAAAAGTAGAACAGTAAAATGAGGAGAGAGCATCAAAAGCACATTACAGTGACAAGCCTGTAGAATGGAAGCACTGGTGTAGTCATGAGTTCACCTATTAGCTTTAGGATTTAATAGTGGGAAAACATTTCTATAAAAAAAGCTGAAAAGACATGTCAGAGCCAGAGTTAAGTGCACCCTGGGGCTCTTACTACCAAATGAAAAACACTGCAGCCATGTGACAGTGCATGAAAGCAGTGCAAACTCATTGCACCAGTTCAAATTTGCCCAAAATGTTTTCAGGAGGTATCTTTCCTAGAGCAGACTTTATGATGTTGAGGAGCCTGTCCTCCCACAATTAGCATAAACAGCACATCCCATTCTCTAGTTTGACAGAAATACAGTTGTATGCTCCTGCCTGATCCGGATCAAGGTTGTACCACTGTGTAACTTGATGGAGCTCAAATCTTGGCGGTAATATTTAGGAAACCATGATCTCAAACAAACGTTTTGGGCTTCAAGATTTTAGACAGCACAACTGCTTTCTCTTTAAGATATGCTTACATCTGGCCATGACTATACAAGCCCAACAAGTAGTCGTTATCATTCCATTAATTTGGTGACTAACAAATTTGCAATACCAAACACTATTCACTACCCAGCTTTTGCAACTGCAACTACCCTAAACATACTGGGCTAGGTAAGGTTGTTTAAAACATTAAAAAAAAAAAAAATGTGTACACAAATACATCTTTATCTTCTTCCTATGAATCACATTTCATTTCAGCAGGGATAGAATTAGACTATTGCACATAACTGACAAAAACTGGAATTGGTAAGTGTCCAGAGGGCACTTGTGTTCAGGGTTTCTTGCTAAAGGGTAAGAACAAAGACTCCTCAAGAGTTTCCAAGAATGTTCTGCCTTCATAGGAAAGATCTGGTAATCTACGTAATAGAGTGCTAGGCAAAAGCCACTGCTATTTACAAACTAGCAAAGGATCTTCTGTTTTGGTTGGTATCTGTGGTCCATCAGCTTCTGTACTGTCTTCCAGAGTGATCAACAAAAGCTCCTTTGGGGAGAACGCCAACTGCAGCAGAAGTCAATCTACCCTTGGTTACCCTAATCCTAATAAAGTTACTTTAACCTATACAAAGTTACCCTAACTCTAACATACTGACTTCCAGCCCTCTGTAAAAAACCAAAACCAAAACCACACCGAACACCAACCAAGCGACAACCTACAAAGATGAGAGGGATAATCAATCCACCAGAGTATTACACACAGGGAGGGGAGAAACACAAAACAAAATTTTTAAGAGATATTTTGGGTTTCTAAAGTATTAAATGACACTTTTCTTCATATAAACTGCCCAATGAAATGCATACATCAAGAGAAACAGTAACTACAACATGTATTCCTGGATTTCTTTGTGGCTCTGAAATCCAAATAGATATTTTGACCTATAACCTCCAATTTAAACATTTAGATTGGCACCAGATTAGCCAAGCTGCTGCTAAAACTAAATAATTAGAGTATATCTCTCGAAGCGGCTCCAGACATATCCTCTAGCCAGATGTTTTCACACAGAAACCCCAAATAGAAAAAACTCACCCAAACAGCCTTTCTTTTCCTAGAGACATCTGTGAGCAAATGATACTTCAGCCTAATGAAGTAATGAAATCCTGCAGGACTGAAAGCAGCGCAAATGGCTCTCCACCAGCAGCGTAACTAAACAGCATCACAATGCTGAGTAAGGCATAGCCAGGTACCAACAAGACCTTAGTACCTAATCTTGGCCACAGCTGAAAGAATCATCATCTTCAACCCAAAGGGATTTCCTTAGCCAGTAAACATCAGGAAAGATGCTAGTTTTCCAAGTTTCCATGTCTCCAAATCTTCTCTTGCCCCCTTTTTAAAAAGCACACATTTTATTTACTAAAAGAAAGGAAACTAGAAATTAAACATTTATTTCATGACATAGAATCCACTAGCAGTTTTTGCCTATTACCTGCACACAATACTTCTACCTTCTACTCAGTTATCAGCGTGACTACTGTCAGGGCATTTGTAAAACTAGACAGCATTCAGAGAAGAGAAAAAGAGCTGGCATAGCTTACAGTAGCTCTTTGTAAAGTGGATCTACAAAAGGCAATACAGCTCAGTATTCTCCTACTGAAGCCTGTAACAATAGTTTTATTCAAAGTAGTATGTTCATAAGTGATCTTCTAAGAGTAGAAGAAACATCATTTCTCAGGCTTGAAAAATGCGTGTTTTGCAAAGTAATGACAAAAATGGACACAAAGTGCTGGGCCTTTGCATTCTTGAATTTGGGAACCAGTAATAGGAACAAGAGGAAATAAGGTAGCGTTTCAGCAATTTGATGAGTCAGAAATGGATACTTTTGCCAAAGAAGGAACAAAGCAGCAGATTTCTAGACGCCAAGAGGAGCACTCGCAGAACCTCAGAGAGCCCTTTCTTTCAGCACTATTCAAGGGGAGACAGATATTTTAAAATGTAACTACAAATTTTGCTTTTTCAAGACATACGTTGCCATGCATGCACAGTTTGTCATGTGTCATTTTTCATAAAGTTGTCAACATCAGACAGTATAATACACCACATCTGGCTGCAGCAATAGCACAAAAGAAGGAACAATCTTTGACCTGCAGGATCCTTGGACAAAGGCGTTTTTGCAGAGGAGGCATCGCTGCTCTATTTCTTCAGACAGCATTCCTACTGCCAATTCTGGTCTCTTGCTCATTTTTGACTTTTTTTTTTTTTTTTTAAGAATCATTGTTATTGTCAAACAGGATGAAGTAACACAGAAATGTCATGGTAAGGACAACTGTCTACCAATATTCAGTACATGTACACAAAAAAGACAAAGCAGAATTTCAGAATACTTTGAAAATCAATTCCTAGACAATTTGTGACCTACCAGTTACACTTAATGAGTTTTACACCATGCTCTGGTACTCCACAGAGTGTTTACAGATTTTTTTTTTCCCCCCCATATAACCAAAACAGAATGCAGGAGATTAATTTACAGCTTTTCCCCAATTTGCCTTATTTTCCTGGCTTCAAGACTAGCATAGTCAAGTTTTCAATGGCTGTGGCTAGTCAAGAAGACATGCTTAGCATCAGCCAGCACATGTAAGAAAAAGTTTACAATGTTAGCACAGCTTCACCTCTATTATTTTCTGAATGCTGCCCCTATTAATGAGTGGAAAGAATCAGGACAATGAGAACCCCCTTGTCAGAGACATAAAAAGGAACATTCCACTTAGGCACTGAAGTACACATTTCTCATAGCGTAAAAGCATTCAATAATGCTCAAGGTGTTATGGTGGGGCAATCAAACCAAGTCTTTTTATGTTTTGAGAGAGAGGGAGTATTTGCACTCATGCCTCATTTGTCAGGGGTAGGCATTGAGATAGAAGATTTATCATGTCATAAACAGCCTTAGTTGCCTACAGGACAATAAAGGGAAGCTTTTTGGAAGCAATTAGCCAGCACACAGAGGAAGGTCCATTTATTAGGTTTCCAAGCAAAAAAACCCAACCCAAACCAAACATCTTTATTTCAGGAAATCCAGCTCAGGGGAATGTTTCATTTATATTTCTTAAAAGAACACAGGCAGTCTCGAGCAGCTGGCAGCACAGTAATCTTCTCTCTCAACATTTTTGTGGTTTCCTTAATACTGATGCATTAGCCAGAGAGAACGAAGCTGTTCCAAATGGGAGTCCCAGCAGACTGGCTTATCTGAGAGACACCTGATCCTCCAGATGCACCCAATCTTGAGCAAGATTTATTAGCATGAACTCCGCACTACAGATACACTCTAATGAAAAATCTAGAGATACAAGTTACTTTGAGAAAGTGTAATTTGACTTCCTCTGTTTACCTTCCATCTCTAAAGCTTGTTTAAAGAAGTTTTTCAGCCCAATTACAAATAAAAGGTCCTCAGTTATACCAATGCTACAATCTCAAAGCACCAGATGAAAGCTTCAGAATGCTCCCCTATAAATAGGTTTTCCAAGTATGCTTAAAATATATTTGCAATTCTTTATTCCCTGTAAACTACATTAAGGTTTCAAACACAGTAAAAATAGAAGAAGTTCCAATATACCAACTTATTCAGGCCTTCTACAACCAAAATCTGATGAGACTCCAAGTTAGTGCTTTCCCTGCTGCTCTCCCCACCTCAGAATATAAGTACTTTTCACGTTTACTAACCTCACTGTTGTTGTCCACCCAAGATAGCAATTATTTTGTTAAATATAGGTCCCATGACAATGTTTTCACTAATTCTGTTTCTGGAGACACACTTGCCAACAAAAGACAAAAGAAAGTATTCACACATTTGAAGCAGCTTCTATATTTTCCTGTCCCTCATTCTTCTATTTGTCTTGAAGAATGGGAGAACAAACATGAAAATACACGACAACTGGACTTAACTGGATGCACGTGCAGATGGTACAGGTAAACCCCTCAAAGTGCATAGCACTCAGACACAAGAAGAGGACAGACAGTACTGAGATTTCAGTGAAGTGGGCTATCATAGTCAAATGCAGTTATCTTAACCAGTACCTGTAATGTCACCTTCCATTTTGTTATAGAGGTTGGTTTTGTCCCACTCCCCCTCACCTCCCCTCCCGCTTTTTTTTAATAAATTAAGTACATTATAAAAGCTGACAGGTCTAAAAAAATTGTTGAAACTATGTCATAAAACAAAAAACAGACAGGAAGTAATGGACAAGTATAAAAGCATTCTGACATTTCTGAGAGCTTATTTTTGAACTATGCACTGTAAAAGTTAATAAGCCCAAGCAGGTTGAAGCTATTACCTTTCTATTAAATGCTGTATAAGAACTCACCCCGTAGGTTTTCAAAACAACAGCTCAAATTTCTCCCCTTCAATTTTAAGCTTGAAGTTTCACATTTTGAAAAGGCCCTCAACTTTGGCTGAAATCCGTTCCTGCTCTATTACCCAATGCCCTTGAATCTTCTGCAGTTTCAAAGAACTGCGTCTCGGGTACCAGGCACTGCCGTAACTGCAGAGTTTCAGTCACAAGCACTTTCCCATCGCTGGTGCTCGGAAGCCGTGGCAGCAGTTAATCACTGTTTGTAAGATCTGGTCTTGTTGAGTATTAGAAAACACAAGGCAAATAACTGGACTACAAATTAAACAACTTTGTATACAGATTGATTTCACAGTTTGTTATCATAAAGTATCATTTTCAATGAATAAAAGGGACCCAAACCTCTCCAATCTTTTAGAATTTCAAAGATAAAAATAAAAGGTGCCTGAATAAAGAAAAAGCAAACATTAACACAAGCACACACACATCTAATTTGCTTTACTGAGTTCTCTTGAGCCACTTGCAAAGAGGCTCCCTTTCACACATGGCAGCGTTGCAGCTGACAGGCAAGAAGTGGTAGTCTCTCCCCAAGGTGACTTTGACTGTTTTAGCATGATAGGTATTTGGCTTCCAGAGAGATTATAAAGTTGAAATGAAGTATTATCTGCTACATCTTTTGTGCAGTGAATGTTATGTAGGGACTTAGTATAGTACTAAGAGAATAACAGTTTGGGGAAAATTACTCCAAGATACCTCATTTTGAAAAGGCAGATGTTCTCTATTTAAAGTATGTCAAATATTAAATTCTATTATACCTTCTTCCTGCTTCACTGCTACAGGCATCTTCAAAAGATGTGGGGAAAAGCACCGCAAAACTGTCAGTGCTTCTAGACTAAGGTCGTTTACTTAATACACTATTGAAGAGAATAACTTCTATGAATTACAGTTTTGAAACAACGGGGGAAGGGGGAATAAAGGAACAGCAGCATACAGGAGCATTCACATTTACAGCTTTTGCGATGCTTCATCTCAAGAGGAGGAATTTCAGAGGCATCACTCTCCAGCAAGCTAAAGATTCATACAATTTTAGCAAAAATAAATGGCAAATTGCTTTTGAAGAATCTAAAAATGCATACTAAATGGAATCAGTTTGACTAATCCCCACATAAGCTATCCAGCAAAGAAAGCATACATTTGGAAAATATCTCTGGTCTCTTTGGCTCTTAAAAAAACATGACCTGTATTATTTACTCTGTCAGAGGAAGCATCTTGTGCTGCTACTTTTTTTGCAAGACAAATATGCTGGAGATTGTGACCGGCACCACCCAGTAGTGCCTTCTAGTTACAGAGATAATAAAAATAGCTTCTAAACCCTTTCTCAAAGAAGCTTAGAGCAAGCACAGCAATGTAAAGCATAAAAACATTTATTTGTATGTTGTGCTAACTACCTTGACTTACACCAAAGAAAAAAGCTGAGCATAAACCTAACCCCCCCAAACATTTAATGAAGACAGTGTGACTTCATTGTCACATTGAGATGTGACCATCTCAACTTTAAACATTACCCTTATTAAGTAACAGATTACATATTACTGAAAATAGATGTGAGGATTCCCACCATAGAAACTGCTGCTCTTTTACAAGGATAAGTACCACCTGTACAGTAAAAGCAAGACCTGAATCACTGGGGGTGGATGGGTTTTAATTGGTTTGGGGGTTTTTTATTTATTATTAAATTTATTAATTTATTAAATAATTTTTCCCCCCCATCTTTTCTTTCTTTTTTAAATCTGAGACACAGAACAGCACTTTCTGGGCTCAACACTGATTCTACTACTGCACACTGCATGCCCTGCAGACATGTGTTTGCATCTCTCATCCCAGAGAAATGCTTTCCTTCACCGCCCTCATCTAAGCAGCAAGGTCAGAATTTTGCCACTGCACAGAGGTACCAGGAAACTTAATTTTCTCTCTACGGCTCTCCCATACAATAGTATGACCTATGAAAGCACCACAATGATACCTATTAAAAGTGATAGTAAGTCAATGTCAATTAACTCCAGGACACTTAACTGATGCTATTAAACCCCAGTGACAACAGTTTTCATTTTCACATTCCCTACCAAAACAAAAAGCAAGTTGAAGACCAATGTGGCTAAAAAAAATAAAATCTGGCCTCAGATTCATATTTAGGAGCTGTTAAATCTATGCCGTCTTATCACAGCAAGGAAAAGTCAAAACAAAACCATTTCAGAGGCAACAACCACCTCAGCAAAGTCACAGCACCTCTTCTGACAACTATGGCTAAGCCAATTCCATCTGTGTTTTGACATTTCAGAATCATTTTTTTCAACAACTGGATTTTTTTTTTTCCAATTTTTTTTTTAAGAGTTGGTCTTTTTAGCAATGAAATACTAGGAAACACCGCCAGATAGCATCTAAGTTAAGTCAGCGGCATTATTTGAAACAACATAAATGCAGAGCAAGACAGCTATGCACCCTCCCCTCATTGTGTGCACACTTCAGTGCCTGGAATGAATTACAGTTAACGGAGAAAGCCTTGCTCTTAGAAATGGAACAGTAGCTCTAGGGTTGCTGGTTTTCCAATCCCCCTCACCCCCCACATGCAGATACAATGCCTGTTTTGGAGCTGCCACTGTCCTTTTCTGCGGGAAGATGGAAAAATAGCAGGTATATCACACACAGGAGAAAAATCACACCTTTTATGCTATGACAAACACGCAGCTTTATCAGTGGCATGACTATTTCGGACAAACTATTTCATTCCATGTGGTCCCATTATCTAGGAACCACTGCATGGCCTCTCCTCTATTTTTACAGTCGTAGCTATCATTTTATTCCCTTGCATAGCTGCACTTACAGTCTCCTAAAACTATGTACTACTATTAGTGCATATAAAAAGGTGTCCATCACCACTGTAATTTTATCACTTCCTTCCTCTAAATAACAGTTGTTCTTGCTGCCACTGGAAAGAAAACAGCATTTCTTTCCAATAAGTCACAGATTAAACCGGTTAGATTATTTGAAAAGCTAATTAAAATTTGTGGTTCTTTGGTTGTCTTGTTTTATTTTAAGACCTTCATCTCCTTCCAATAATGAGAAAATAGGACAGTTATATTTATCTTCTAACTAATCGCAACAACATTAAACCAGATACTCAGTTTACAGCAATCTATGCAGGCCCACTGACCTCAGGAAATCAATGTTCATTTAGTCCAACCTGAGGATCTGATGTCCTAAATAGATCTCTTAAGAGGACTGCAATTCTGGAACACCAGTAAAAATAAACATTTATGCAGTGACCTCTGTTCAACTACTTGTAACAGAGAGAGCAGTTGGACAGTCTCTTTTTTTTAATCAGTGCTGTTCAGGAGTTTTTAAAAAGGGAATTATCCTTAATATTTCCCAAGATCAAAACCTAACAAAGATGCCAGCTCAACTTCCAAGACTCAAATGTCAAGGTGCATTTGTGTTCCAGTGGCACCCGAATGTACATGACGCAACCATGAATATACAGCGCTTTCTCAGCAGAGACTGCAAAATTATCTTAGACAAGGGAACAAAAAAGACATCACGAAAAGTAGAACATATGCAACATCTATAATCCAGCAGAACCTGAGGTACAGGTCACTTGAGAACACACCCCGGTTTCCCCATGCATCAGGAATAAAATTCCATTCACAAGCTTGTTGCAGAATTTAAATGCTATGGTGTTACTTAAACAGAATGTTTCTTGTTCTAAAGAACAAACACATGACCATACATTGTTGTGACAGATCGTAACTAATTTGAAGACATATTTCCAAGCACATTTTCCTCAGCTGCAAAAGTAATCTACTCCAAGCCCTACCAACTCATCTAATTCTCATATCACTGTACGTGTTTGCAGGGCAATGCTATGAGCTGTATGAGTAAAATGGAGTGAACCTTAAAAGAATAAAGAGTCTGGGAAAAGGTTCCAGTGTTTTTGTTTGGTTAACCTGGATAATTTCTACTGTTCAGTTCACAGCTCCATAAACAGCTGTAGCAGCACAGCTGACGGGGCGCAAACCAGACATAGAGGCAAAACTGAAAAAGCCCTGAACTCAGCTTTTCTGGCAAACAGAATGTTCAAAATCACTGGGGATCATAATAGCATGATTGTCCTCACTCATGCTACTCCCTGCTATTTTAATGTGGTCATTAGGTGGTATTTTGCCATTTTCCCCATTGGTTATTAACCTCTCACCTTGGTTTCAGTTCTCCTTGTGGTTCCATCTTCAGAAGTGACAACAGACACATGGGAAGTGGGAGTGCCTGGGTCTTCCTCCACAGTAACTGTCTCTTCCACCATTTCTTGAGGCTCTTGCATCATTGCTATTGATGTTTGGTTACTGGGGCTTTGTTCCTAAAGAAGCAGGTAAAAAAAAAAAGAACAAAACCAAACTTTTAACTTCTGCCATCATGGTATAACTATTCTATTGATTTCAACTTTCTCAATTTGAAAAACAGTTTACCCAACAACTTGCAAGTAGAGATTCAGAGAAAGAAGTATTTACTGTCTCAAAAAAGCATGCTGCAACTATGCTGGTACGGCTGGGCTCAGCTCAGTAAGTGGAAATCATGTGAAGCATCTATCAAGGATTTCATATTTATAGGCAACCTACTACAGACTGGCAGACTACCTCCTTATATTTAACCGTGTTTTAAGCTTTCTCTTCAATGCCTAGCATAGGAGGAGTGGAATTTTTGTCTGTAAAAACATTAATTCTCTTCCACAGTTGAACAGGGCCATTGGCTTTCAGAGCAGTTAAGCTCACACACCATTGAAAGTTTATTTCCATTTGATAAAATACACTCAGTTGCAGCCTACAAAAGGCTATAATACATCCAGATCTTCTATTAAACTGACACCTTTCTCAAACTGTCCAAAACAGTGATAATTTAAAAAAATGGATAGCTAGAGATTAATAGCTGAATTACATGAAATGCTACCCTTCTGACATCTTTCCTTCACCAAGTCCATGAGATGTAACTGGCTATAAACTTATTTAAAATTTATAACAGATAGACAACACGAAGAAACACTAAACAGAAAGAAAGTAGATCAAAGGCCAGTTCTTGGCAGAGATACTGCCCAAAGAGAACGCTTCTGCTTTTCGCCAGCACTGATGTCTGAACTTTCCTTTCCTTATGCAATTGTGTGTCTCAGCACAGAAATCAGAGAAGCTTTCTTTTGGTAGATGAATGTATTTCAAAGTTTCACAGCAAGTGGCCAATAAAGAACCGGCTTACATACTGAGAATGATCTCGGATGTCAGATTGTGTCTTCTGCCCACAGCTCCAGAAGGGAAACTAACGCCTGGGACAAATATACTAATCCCTTCACGCTTTTCTTTAAGAAAATATATTCTAACTGCAACTCCCTTTTCCCCACCCTCCAGTAAAGCTCCTCTCTAAACAGAAGAATTTACACAATATTATTGCAATACAGTTAAGACTCAGAACTTATATTCATCTTCATGCAACCCCAGCCTTGCCAACAGCAAAGAAACCAGTTAGATGTAGAGATTTTTTCCATTACACCTTGTCCCTGTAAACCTCCTCATCATCTCCAAGGCATCGAACGCCAAAACTGCTTCAAGGTGGGATCTTCTCACTCCTCTCACACATGCACATACATACACACATCTCATCCATCAACCTCATTTCTAGCTGCATCTTGAGGTGACTGCATGAATTTACGACTCTGTTCCCCTCTACATTCTTCAGAGGCAAACTCTGCTTTGTGATAACAACCTGAGGAGATGGAAGGTGGAAGGAAATATTTCGCTCTTTGTGCTTTTGCAAAATTTTTTCTTTATGGAAAAAAATAAAGTATCTCTTTGTATTCAGACTGCCTGTGGGCAAAGGAAACCTTTAAAGCTGGGCACTTATACATGAGCAAATTGCAAACTAGAGCATATTGACTTTAAATGAGCACTGCACTAGTTTTTATGCTCTGGCTGCTTCTAAAATGAAGATTCAGGGAGATACGGTACAGATCTGCATTCCTACAAGAGAAAACTATTGTTAGCAAGAGACTGCCCTAAGCATCAGGAAGAATAAAAGCTTGCAAAGTGCAAGGTAGATATTCCAACACAGACAACTAACCAGACAGCATCTTCTTGTGTCTTCCTTCTTATAATGGGAGCTACTCAGGACAGCATATGAGCAGTGAGCAAAGACGATGGCATATCATCCAGCTTACTCTTCCTTGAATTAGCTTAAGGATGTAGTTCTTTGATCTCCAAAACCAGTACTTGCTCCACATTGCTAACTTGGAGTTGTCACAAGCTAACATTAATGTGGAAAAGATGCAAAGATTTTGGTATCTGTTTTTAGTATCCATCATTAAGGATTTTAGGTCATCACGAATTGCAGAAACTGGGACACATTACCCCTTTCAACCATCTTCCTTTGTGCTCAGCTAAGTCAGTATTTAGGACTCTCTTCTGCTAAATACATCCCAGCATCTCAGATTCCAAACATTTGGCAGATAAGCTCAATTATTCAAAGTAGAACACAAGCTGCCAGGTAAGAGCTGGAACATGCTCTCTAACGAGTTCCCTGCCTGCTAGAGGTAGGTAACTCCAGTTTAGAACAACACGCACTCCCCTCATCTACCTTGCTGAGGGCTTTCAAAGCAAAAGCAAGTAGACAATTCCTCTTTTCCTACCACACTGGCCAAGACCCCGTGGTCTTGTACTGTCAAGCAAGAGTGCGTTCCCCAGCACAAGAGGGATCTGCCATGCTACAGCAATCACTGTCGTCAGCTGAGCATCTGGGAAGACCAAATCTTAAGGGAGCTTCTTTCCAGTCCTCTTCAATGGGAGACCATCAGGATCCTCGATAGTTCCTGAAGTTTGGCTTGCTCCTCCTCCTGGGACCCTCTCTTTGAAACACTCAAGGCACAACAGCTGAACTATAGAAATTGTGTCACAGGGAGCATCAAGGACGAGCATCTCCCTGAGGGACGTGGTGCTGAGGGGGATCCTTTGGATGGCTGGGCAGGGTCCTCTCTGGCTGCAGCCCACTTCCACACCACCCCAGCGAGGTGAGCAGGACAGACCTGACATGACAGCCAGGTCCAACCAAGAGGCAGTATCACAGTGACGGGGGACGCTCAAGGTCAATCTGGAAAGCAAATCTGCAGGTCAGGGTTAGGATCAGGTCCAATGATAGCCAGGCAGGTCCGCAGTGACAAGGCAGGTCTGAGTCAGGCTAGGAAGTCAGTCTGCAAGTTGAAGTCTGGATCAGTGTGGTCCACGGCCAGGCACAGGCATGGCTGTAGCTCAGCTGGAGACCAGTATTCTTCCAGCATGGCCCGAGTATGGACTGAGGGCCCAAGGCTGAGCATAAATAGAGCTCCCAGTTCCCTAGGCGGAAGCCCCATGTGAAGCTGGTCAGGGCCACTGAGGTCTGTCAGTACTCAGGACCCTGAGGGATCCCACAGACCCTCTAAAATGGCAGCAGGAAATCTTGCAGTAAACACACACATATCAAGGTGATACCCCCCCTTCCCCCCAGTTGCTAAGCATTAACCATGAGGTCCCTTTCAAATAATAATCTTTGGCTCCTTCCAAGAACAAAACACCACCAAGTTATGAGAACAGATTCCAACCCACTTACTGCCCAGGGTGTCAGTAGCCATGGCTTTTCTCCCTGCTTTTTTGAGTACCAAATTAATTCTATCCTGTTGGTCTGTGCCTGCATCTCCAGCATGCTTTAAAAAAGCCAAGCTATTTAAAAAGCAAAACAACAATCAATTTATCCCCAGTCTGTAAAAGTTAAGTGCAGATGAAACAGCTAAAGACCTTGTAAAATAAGCAAGAATCATAAAAGTGATTTTTTTTTGTTAAAAACCAGAGCTATTTACCATTTAGGGCACATATCTCCTAAGGCTTATTTTGCATTAGAATACTACAGCTTCTGTAATTATCACCATTTCAATTCCTAGAGTTATATTTCCATCAAAGCTGCTATTTTATATCTTTTTTTAATAAAAGAATAACCTCCCCCAGGAGGATCAGACATCATACTTTAAAACAGTAAACAAAGTTCTTTATTCTCTGCCTATGAAACAATTTAAACCAGTCTGGAAATAATATGGAATTGCAGGAGACTATTACTTCCACTAAAACAGTCCCTCTTCAAAAAGGCTTAAAACATGCGCATCGAAAGCATCATTCTCCCAGAGATGCCCTTTGTTCAGCAGATCGCTGTGCAGGCTATTCAGGCTACTGCTTACTCCAGGCTACTATCAGATACCAAATTTGAAGGTTTTTGCAGAGCACAAAGGCTGGATTCTACACCAGTGGACATACTTGTCCTCAGTCGACCCCAGCACAGACAAAGCTCAAGTGTATCAACTCCTGTGAAACACATTACAAGTCTGGGCATAATTAATGGCATTGGACAACAATGCTAATTGAATTAATTGTGGATACTCTCTCCTCCTCCTACTCTTTATTTAAATTGTTTATTAAAGCTTCAATCACTGCGAAGCATGAGATTATAAGTGCAAAGCAGGCAAACATCGGTTCTGTCAGAGTCAAGTCTCAGGCTGACTTTCTGCCTCGCTGGTCTCCTTCCAACTTTGGCCTGCACTTCCAGCTCAGTCGTGTCCTCAAGCTGTTACTTGCTGAAGGCATGTGGAAGAAAAAGGAACACCAAAAAAAGGCAAGTCTGCAGGAACACATCAATCCAACAAGTCTTGAGATAGCCATGTTCCTGGTTTGAGCATCAGATTGATAACCCAATGGGACATCAAAGCGCAAGAAAATCACTGGTGGAGTCTGAACTTGGTGTATTTGTGGCAGACCTTTCTCCAATACAAGATCCAGCTCCCCAGCAGCTGCAGACTCTCAAATCTGATTATCATCACATTCTCCTGCCTTTTCAGAGCTCCCTTTCTTTCACCACAGCCTGAAGATCGCTGCTCTGCTCTCTGTCCCAGATTTGTCCAGAGAGTTTTTTGTGCACCTCAGTACTGGAACAGCTGGAATCCAAGCTAACCAGCATATGCACACCACTGAGCCTGTACCATCTGAGAGGCAGCCGTACAGGGGACTGTCTTACTCTCTTTAGATCATGCTTCAGGAACAGAGAAACAGGTAAGCCCTCACATACAGCAGTGTTTGCACTACTGTTAGGCAGGGCACCTTCTGGAAAAATACGGAGACCTTATTTTCAAGGACTGCCACATGCTGCACTCCTCCAGTTCAAAAAAACGCAGCACGGTCCAGGCCTTCAGCAGCAACCACCGGTGCTCAGTCACACCTACCCAAGCTCTTCACAATCAGGGGAAACTGCTGCACAGCTGGGATCAAACGATGACACCTTTTTCAGGCAAAACAGCATTGGAACAACGAA